AAGTGCTACATCAGTGATTACAAACATCACAGAATGGCTACATCCTGATAAACAATTCGTACAGATGTTGATAAACATACATGGAGAGGGAGCCTGAATCTTTTAACAGGACTTCCACTAGGTGTGCTTACATACCTGATACGGAAGAAAAGCTCTTACGAATGTGAAGTTTTGGTAGACACAGCATGCATTATCATTATAGTTTTACAAATCAAAGTTAATTATAGAAGGATATATTGTCTGTGTGCCTAAGAAAGTCAGAGTTCACCTCTCTGTTTGCGCAGGGTCCGAAGTAATGTCAGCTGCAGCAGGAAAGGAAGAACTGGCTGGTTCGTCAAGTTATCATGTCCCCAACGGTACGACCTGACATCATCAGACATGGTGTGGCAGTGGCAAAGGGCGGGGATTCTCATGCTGGATGACTGCACCACTCTGAGCTAGGAAGACAGTAAAAGAGTAGTCAAGGATATGAACAGGGGAAAAAAAAATATCTGCTTTAAGGAAAATGATACATGCTCATTCCCATTTTTGCAAGCAATCGAAGCAGACTGATGGGCAGGGAAAGCCCCAAAATGAAGAAAGAGTCAAAGCTCAGCTTTTTTTAATTTGGCTGTAAATGGGAACCATTAAGTTCAACAATGTGTAAGAGGCTATGAGAATTTTGTGTTCATAGAGCTTAGGTGGTCTGCAGATGAAAACAAAATTCCGTGTTAAGGAATTGAGCTCAGAGCTTTAAGTCAGGGGCTCTAGAAGTCCCTTTCTGCTGCAGTACCAGGTGCCCAGGACTTCAAAGCTGCTGGGAAAATATGGATTTCTTAAGCAGCCCTTTGCCCTTCAGAGAAGTACTGTTCTTTTCCATTCCTCCAGGGACTGAAACAGCATTCAGTGGCAACGTCACGGAAGAGGGACTTTCCAGGACAGAAGCCCCACCACCAAGTGAAAACATAACTGCAATTTCTGTCATCACCTTCGGTACGAACTCATCAGTACTCTTCAATGACAACTTCCAAACATACAATGAGCTTTCTTACACCAAGCTGGTTCTCTCTGACCACATAATGATAATTACATGGGTAATGCTTGCAATCCTGGGGAGACACCACAGAAACACAGCCATTTTTAGCATCTAGAAAAAAAGCTAAATTTTACTGTTTGTTGTGCCAGGGCACGAGTCTACTGATCTCAATCAGGTTTTTTTGTTCATATAAATAGAAAAAATTTTACCTTTTGTCTTAAAATTAATTCCAGTAAGGTGATTTCTGCACTCCCACCATGTTCATCTGGCCTGGTCCAGGATCTGTCATTCTTCTCTTAATTACCAGAGAGTCACAGGAAACTGTTTAACAACACAAATATACACCTGCCTCTTTTACAGAGCAAGATCTGAAATCTGAAGGCATCACAAAGAAGGCAAATAATCTCCTGCTGCCAATCCTGGTGGCTGCCCTGATTTTTGTGCTGCTCGTCATTGTCCTGCTTTTTATGAGGAAGCTGAAAAAAGCTCATGGAGTGTGGAAGAGAGGTGGGTGATGGCCCTGCCTGAGCGAGGGGTGGGAGACCTGAGGAGCCTGTTAAGTGGAGACAAGATAAGGCTCCTCCAGCCACCGACTAAACGTGCTTCTCCCATAGACAGTGACCGTGACTTGTTGCAAACAACTGTTGAAGAGTCCCTGTAACTGACGGCCTCAGGCCACGCTTCAGCTGACATGAGGTGCCACAAAAGCCAACAAAATTGTTGTCTTAAGCATCTCAGATGATCAGGTTGATTGAATCCACATTTTATAACTAGTCTCTCAGGATTTTTATGCTCAAGGCGGAGAGTGAGGAAGAGTCATGGAAAAATCTCATGATCTTCATTACATTTGTTTTCTGCACAGAAAATGATGTTTCAGAGCAGACACTGGAGAGTTATAAATCCAAGTCTAATGACGACAGTCCGGGCCACGAGAAGAACGGACACGGTAAAGATCTTTAACCAACATAAACTAATTCCTGTTAAAGCATTGCTACTGACAACAGCCAGAGCAGAATGCAGTCAATCTTACTATACAGAGATGTTCGCAAATTGCACGTTTTAAACCTGAATGTTCTAAACCCAGACTTTTCATATCCAGAGGTCCACCACAGATAATATAGCTTCAGCAAGAGTGATGCAGAACCATACAAAATGAAAATAACTGCTTTTTATTTGATAGGCTAGACTGGACAATCACAATGGGTTTATCTAGTTTCTAAATATAATCTACTGACACACTATTAAAAACAAGTATGTGTGGTACGTACCAGCAATGCTACTGTTAAACTGTCCTGAATGGCTCTTACGTGCTTTCACCCCAACAAAACATCAGTGCTTCATCAGTCCTGTCCTCAGCCAGTGACTGCAGATGGAAGCAGGTCTGTCAGCCTCCGCAGTGGGGGTATTTCTGCTCCACACTTGGGCTTTTGTCTAAACAAAGGTGGCTTTCGGCAGGTGAATAAGCCCAGATGGCAAGAATGAGGGATCTTTGCCAACATCTTTCCACAAAAGTTTACCACAGCACCTAAACGGTATTAAAAGAGAAGGGGTCTTGTAATGACTGTCAAAACATTTTCAAAACTTCCCTTCTTTTTCAAATATTTTGAAATGCAAAATGTTTAAGCCATTTCTAGTACAAACTAGTGCCTTGAGTATTGTGTAACCTGCATTAGATCACATCATGAATCTCACTGTTTGCTGCAAGGGATGCCTTAACAATTTCTAGGAATGCACGTCATCTTTCTACAATACTGTAATTAATACATATTTCAAGCAGGCATGCCCTCCCCCTTTACAAAATCAGTAATAAATGTGTGTTTATCTTCCAGTTGTCAGTCAGAAGTCCAACATGCAATATGTAACAGAAGGATACATGGAAACAACACAGAAGAATCCAAGAGAAAAAACCATTGCAATAAGTGAGAAACTGTTTGGATGTGGAAAAGAAACGGATGTATAGCAATGGCAAATCTGTACAAGGTGCAGCAGCACCACTGTTTCCTGATATTTATATTACAGCGTTCGGATATCAATGTGATTTCAAGGCGCAAAAGTACAAACAGCTACCCTCAATCCAAAAGCCAGGTGGGACTGCTTTTCCTGAAACAGTGGGACAGGTAGATGCGACCGGTGCTCCTAGAAACCTATTAGCAATGAACACATGGATTCACCTGTAATCTTCAGAGGATTTAATTAACCAGTGCCAGAAACAGAGCTCATCGATCCCGTCTCAGGTCCTGTCAGCAACTAGCGTGTTGGCAAGGGAGCGTGCGATTAGCCCCAAGGACCGCAGGATATGAAGATACTCATGTAAGGCTTCGGCCATCTCCTCTGCCAGCACGGGACTGAGCAGCAAACCCTGGGAGCTGCAAACCACCTGGGACTGTATGATCTGACCCCAAACCTGGCCATCCAGCTGTATTTAACCCAGCAGGAAAGAATCCTGATGTCCAAAAATAAAAGGTTGTTCCCCCTCGCTCGGACTTCTGCCTCAGTTTCTCCGTGTACGATGATAACCTCGCTCTCTGCTGTGCCAGACTGCATCCGCATGTCTGCAAGGGGCTCTGCAGCCAGAACATTTGGGGGCTACGGCTGTGCCATCTTGCACAGGGCCCAAGCTGCCAGCGGTGTTACTGAGCCTAAGGAAGCCTGCAGAGAAGGCAACGCGCCATGTTGCACCCGGGGCTCCCGAGATCCGGGGACAAGGTCGCTTCCCTGCCCCGGTGGGCAAGCCAAGGAGCCCCGCCACGCCATGGCCGGGAGCCTCTGCTGCTGCGGGGAGAGGAAAGGGAACTCCTAAAACAAAGGAAATACGCAGTGCCACGGAAAGCTGCATTTAATTTTCTCATTAAGGATTATTATTTCTCACTAGAAGGAAGAAAAAATGCTGCAAACTGCTTTTGACTACCGCATTAAACACATGCCCCTGAAGTGACCGCGAGCAACAGCTCCATGTCCGAGCGGGAGCCGGCTGCGCCCTGCAGCCCGGGCGCTACCACGCTCCCCGCGGGGGAGGGGGGAACGCGCCTCCCCC